GGAATCTCTACACTGCTCTTGTCAAATGCTCTGTAAATCAGCCTTTCATTATCACAGCCCACTTTTCTATTTATGTCGTTTTCACCCCATAGCACCAGCCCTCACCCTGGGGACCTGGCCAGCCCTCAGTCTGGACAGTTAGCCTCTGGCCAACTAGAAGCAGGTGGCTAAAGCAGTCTACTCCCTAAAGTGAGGATGGGAGGGGTCTCTGTTTCTCCAGGCTGAGGCTGGGTCTGGAAGCCCATGCTGTGGTTCCCACTGTACCTGGTCTCTGTGGAGAAAACATGTCTCAGATATCTGGCAGCTGTGACCCTTCCTAGCTTGGACCTTGCCCCCTCCTCACACCTCCTAGACTGAAGACAGGATGAACAACAAGGCCTTGTAACCCTCTTAGCCATGTCAAGAAATGGGTGTCATCTGGGGATCACATCAACCCAAACCTTTTATCTTAACAAACCATGCTGATCCAAAGACTAATTGCTTCTTGCTGTCTTCAGCCCGCCAACTGCTCAACAACGATTCACAAATCATTTCTACAATTGATTGTCACAAATGACTTTACCCTAGTGGAAACAGACACCCAAAACTCATTGCCTGATTGGGTTGGTTCCAGCCAAGACAGAAACCCTTCCCCTCCACACGCACATGCGCACACGCATACACACACACACAACCACATGGTTGATCTCTTCATGAAAAAACATGGTGGGATCATACTCAGGCTTATGCCAAACTCAGAATTCTAGAGAAGAAGAGTAGTGAACAGCTCATCTGGTGGAGGACGCCGCCTCTCTAAGTTCCAGAAGATACATTGCTTTATATTCCATACCTGGAAATCTCTGGAGACCAAAATTTCAAGATTTCTCCCAGTGATGTATTACAAGGCTTTATATCCTGGTAATTGAGACAGGGTTTAGAAGGACAGTTGTATCTCCTGCTTTCATCCTGTTTTGCCTTCCATGGTTATACAGGGAGAGAGGTTCTAACTTCATCTTCAGCTGGCCAAAGACTTAGGCAACTTGGATTTGCCAGTTTGACCAGGGCAGGGTAGAGATGAAAACTAGAGCTGTGTATAGTTGTTGGGAGAGAGTGTGCCCAAGAATAGCTGGCTTAGTCTGCTCTGTTTAACCGGGTGAAGGGAGGCAGGCAGGGGGGTGCAGTTATTGAAATGATTGGCAGACAAGAGGAGTCTGCCTTTCACTTGGTGATGAAGGTGGTCAGTTTAAGGTGTAGCAGGACTACAGCCATTTTGAAATTAAGAAAGTCTCTAATGAGAATAATCTGAGTCATTGGGAGATCTATTTAAGGAATGGTTCGGTGAGAAACCAGGAGTGAATATTTGAAGGAGTCAGGATAATTCTTGGGGAGAAGCGATCGACTCTGATTGGTGGTAGTGAGGAATGATTTGCACCTGCCTGTATCTTGGGCCTGTAAATACCAAGAACACGCTGAGCTTGGTGAGAGTTTGGTGGTGCTTGCTGACTGCCTTCCTGTAACTGGTTACAAAATAAACTCGCTTCTCCAGTGTCTGCCTCTGAGACAAAGCAGCTGGACTTACTTGGCTGATAACAGTAGTAATAAGAGTGAGTTTCTCTTGCAGGTGATGCCTAAAGTTTCTCTTTTGGAAAGATGTGTGCTCTTCTTTCTTCATTAGGACAAATCCAATGCTAGGTGTGACAATTTTATCAGCCAGGAGGCAGCCCGCAGCCTAGATAAGTGGGGTCTTCAAAAGTTCATGTAAAATACGTATTACAGGAAAGCTATGGATGGATTTCAGAAACGTTTGGCACCAAAGTAAACTTGTATTCCAATTCCATTTTTCCAGGAACTTTTTGAGGTCTTCTCATATCTGAGGAACTATATGGATCCTGTCCATCCTAAAAGACATGGTAAACTTCTAACTCCAGCACACTCTCACAATGTGACCTTACTTGAAGATAAGGTCTAGGCAGATTGAATCAAAAGAAGATGAGGTCATTAGGGTAGGATGTATTCCAGATGACTGACGTCCTTATAAAAAGGGAGCATTTGGGGGCCAGCATATAATTATATCACTGGACCCCCACATGGCCGCATGATACAAGTCCCGGACTCAGTGACTTGAAGATCACCCCAGGCGTGTGTGTATACATGCCCAAGATCCCAAAAGGAGAATAGAGAAGAGATTGCGGCATGGCCATCTCACCAGAGGGCCGATTTCTTACTTTCCCTCTCGCTTTCTCTGTCTCTCCCTCTCTCTGGTGAATGCACGTACCCTAAGGCAAAAACCTCTAAAAAAGGAAGGGGGGATTTGGACACAGACATGGGAAGAGGGAGGATTCTGATGGACACAGAAAAGGCCAGATGAGACTGGAGAGCCACTGCCACAAGTCAAGGAACATCTGGGGCTGCCAGCAGCTGGAAGAGACGAAGAGGCTCCTTTCCCCACAGGTTTCAGAGGGAGCACGGCCCTGCTTATGCCTTACCTTGGACTTCCAGAGAGACAAGAACCTTCTGCTGTTCTGAGTCACCTAGTTCGGGATACCTGGTTACAACAACCTTAGGGAACTAATCAGAATATATTAATGCAGGGAATTGGGTGTTTAGAATTTTATGTAGCCTCAACAAAAACAACCTAGGCTGAGACTTTGGGCACGTCTTCCAAAGCCCTGCAGAGCTTTCCTGCCCAGAGAGTGTTTCTAGACATGCTGCCATAGGTATGCCCAGTTATCAGGAAGCAGCCACACCCTGGTATGCCCACCCAGGGGACAGACAGCCTTGTGGCTGTAATAGAGCCCTGTGTCTCCGGGACCTTGTTTGTCAGCAGCCAAGAACCAAAAATGGGCAGGAAGATGCCTCTGTTTCTACTGAACAAACCTTAATGGTGGAACTCAGTTCACCTTGCCGACACAAGGGAGGCTGGAAAATGCAGTTTTTCTCTGTTCTCTGGACTCTGCACTACAAGTAAGCATGTGAGAAGTAAAAAGGAAGGGAATGTGAGTGGGCAATTCACAACATCCACAACTACAGTAGCCAGATTAAATGGCAAGCTCCCATTCAATTTGATTTCCAGGTGAACAGGTATGTTCGTAGTACAAGTGTGCCTCAACTATTACATGGGATATACTAAGAAATTATTCATTGTTGATCTGAAATTCAGTTTTAATGGGCATCGTGTACTTTGTGTTTGCTAAATCTGACAACACTAACCATGACTTTTATATACATAGAACAGATTTCTAGTTCTTTCTTGTTGAGAACATTAAAAGAGAGTAGGAGAGGAAAAAAAGGGACCAGCAGGTGGCGTGGTGGTTAAGGCGTTGAACACTCTCACTTGACCAACTATGGTTTAAGTCCTGGGCCTGGTGGCTTGCATTCTCACTTTTCCTCTACGTGTGTGTGTATTTATTAATTCATTTATTCCCTCTGGTCAAATTAGAATAAATGAATAAATAAAATTAAATAATTATTAAAAAAAAAGAGAGAGTAGGAGAGAAAGCCAGTCTCAACTCCAGTGCCATGTCTGATACACACTGCATGAGGGGCTTAGTAAGAGATATTCAAACCAGGGCTCCCAATGGTCTTATCTGGACTAAAGTCAAGCGTGGGGAAATGGAGCAAAGTGAGGCACCGGCCGTGTGTGTGCCCAAGATAAGATCCCGAGAGGAGAATGTTGAAGGGATTGCAGTGGGGGGAGGGGTTGTGGACCTGGTCAGTGAGCTTCGAGATGCTAGTTCCAGACTGGTCTGGCCCCACTGAGGCTGGGCTATGGGCTGGTCAGGTGTCAGGAACACTCCGGCGCTCTACTGCTCGGGTCCTTTATCCTCTGCTGGGCACACACCCTCCCCCATTCCATCAGGATGTAACTTACATGTCAGAGGGTTCCTCTGACCACAGGTTTCACGTATGTTACCAACTGATGGTCTCTATCACAGAACTTCCTTAATTTTTCATCCCGTTATGTTCTTCCCAGAACTTCCATTTCAGTTGGTTACTTGGGAGAAGCCCCTCAAAAAATGGCCCCACCTCAGCCCCTGTCACCTGGACCTACCTGGCCAGGTTAGAGACAAGCCAGTGAGGAAGAGGCTGAATGAAAGGGGTAGAGAGAAGATGTCAAAGGCCATGTTTGCCGCCTGCACCAGGGCAGGAAAGCCTCAGCCATTACCAGATGGGCTAATCTGTGTTGGAGACTGGGAGGGAGAAGCACCCCCCCATGGGTATGGCTATGCCACAGTTCCTTCTCCTCCTGTCTCCATACTGCTGGGACTTCATGTACACATGCACAAGTGCCTGGCTTGTCTTTGTTTTCCCTGGGATTCCAACTGCTTGCTTAGCCATGTGGGATCCAGCTCCCTGAGCCACTAACGCACGGGGTCAACCCACTGGAAGATTTTGACACAGCATTACAGAGCCTTGGGGCAGATCCAGATCAGGTGAGGGCTAGGGTCAGTTAGACATGGGCTGAGCAAGGTCAGACACCCAAGCACCAATGCTCACCTACAAAAGTGTCCCTTGTCCCTGTTCTCACCCTGGGGGTTCACAGATGAGGCCAAGGTTTTGAAAAATATAAAATTTTAATAAAGGCTACATCTCTTAATTACAATAATTATTGTACCAATTTTCCTTAAATGAACTCTTTATAATGCATAATTTACAGGATAAGTAGAACAAAATGCCATGACAAAAGTCATTGAGTACAAGACTTGTAATAAAAAGGCATAAAATATATTTGTACATAAACCCCTTTCAAAAAACAAGGGAAAGCTTGAGCCCTCAATATAGGGCGACACACGGAGCGGGCCACCGTGCAGGTACAGGTACTGTACTGATTTAAAGTCAAGCACTAGAGATAGTGGATTAATACTCTTTGCCGTAGACTATATACAGACGTATAGTACAAGGAACAATGGCAAACAGAATGTACAGATTAATTTAACACAAAAACCCAAACATCAAAATGAAGGTGTCTGGAGGAAAGTGCTGCTAGGTCTCCCCACATCTGTTCACTTCTTTGTGGGGCATGGGGTACGTTTCCTGAATGGCTGTGGTCCAAAGACTGATTTTTTAAAAAATAAAAACAAACAACAACAACAAAAACACAAGGAACTGTCATTTTGATAATCGCACGAGCTTGAACCACAAGGTAGTGATTCTAGCAGGCCTCAGCCACTGGGTGTGGACCTGGGATGGTGGAGGCTGCAAGATGGGGAGCCTCGGTCATAGGATGAATCCCCCACCTCCTCCACCATGGTTCATCCCATTTAGTGGGATACCCCCAAATGGTGATAGTGTTGTGATATAAGTCAACCCCCAAGACCTTTATGACAAAATAGAGCAGCGTAGGAAAAAAAAATAATAATAAATGCACCAATTTCTGCATGTGTCAATGGTAGGGCACCATTTTTTAAAAGTCTGTCTTCACTTGGGAAAATGCAGTGCAAAGCCTAATCCCTCTTTTAATGAAGAAATCATTAATGCACTCCTAGCTCAACTCCGAAGTTCAGACCATGAGAACTTCCCCCGTCCCCTTCCAGGTTTAAAGCAGCATATCCGTAAACTGGGGATGAGGGGAATCAACTGTTCAATAAATATCAGTAAGGATTCCTGTTCAGGTAAGCTATACACAGTTTCTTGTAGTTTATGGATTTCAGATCCCTAGGAAGTCATATATTATGTATGGCAGTCTCTCAAATACAGTCAGCATCTTCAATAGCCAAGAGTGGTCATGTTTTTAATAAATAGTTCAGGCTTTTCTTCTCTCAGTACCCAGCTCATGAATAATAAAAAGCAACCTCCCCCCACCCTCCCGAAGGCCAGTGGCCGCTTTTTCCCTCAACTGTGTCTTCTTCATTGGTTTCATTTTCCTTCAAAATGTTCTGTGGCTGTTGCTCAAGCCCAGGACAGGTTCCGCGCACTCCAGCTCCTTGGTTCGCCAAAGCCAGTCGCCGAAGCCTCAATCGATCCGCTCCACTTTGCCCAGGATCCTGCCTTCGTACATGGGGAGCACCGTCTCGTCATCCCAGATCTCCTCAAACACTGCTCCACAGGCAAATTCATCACTGGCTTTTTTAAAGTAATACCTTAAAAGGGAAATCGGAAAAGCTTGGTGAGTTGTGGTTTCTATACTTCTTATAAGGCAAGCACAGCAGCAGTGAGGACTGAGGTATCCGGGATCCGCTGTGGCAGGGGCGCCTCTAAACCACTGCCCATGCCTGATTCAAGATGGCACCTGGAGCTGGCCACCTGGCACCCAACAGGCAGAGTCTTCAGGGCACCCTCAGAGGCTGCAGTCTTCAGCCCAGGACTCCCGCTGTCCCCCAGGACATACACGCTGTGAAAGCAGAGCTGCATCTCCCCCAAAACCCCCACCCACTCGCACCCACGCAATTCTGGGGTGGAAGGAGAGTGGGTAGGCCCACTCGTGGGTCATTTGCAGCTGCAGCTAAGAGGGTCCCTCCAGGAGACCAGGGCTCAGCTCCAGGTCAGCAAGCCCACACCTATCACCTATAGAGCCCATATCTGTGCAAGACTGGGGCACCAGCTCTGCAGTTGAGGCCTCCTGCCTTTCTCACCCTGTAGCCCCCAGGCGCCAACACTCCCTGGTGGCCTCTGGCATAGTACCCAGGAGGCAGGGCCAAGCCAGGGTTGCAGAGACAGCAAGCCCCCAAACGCCCTCCTCTCTCTCCCACCCTAACCCCCCCAGGGTCAAACACCAAGAGCCCCTCTATTATGCCTGCTGATTAAAGGTTCAGTTTATCCTACCCCAGAATTCTTTTCTAAGGCTGTTTAATTGTACAGATGCAAATGACTGGCCTCTCTCAGAAGAGTCACATTCGGAAACAACTGCTGTCCTCCCAGGCCAGGCCTACCCCCCAAGTCCTTTCCAAGGAAATTAAGCAAGGACCTCTTCTTTCCCCATCCAGAGACCTCCCCAGCAAGCGAGACCCTTCCGAGGGACTAACTCGCCCCTGCAAGCTGTCACTTCCAGACCATGGAGGCCATTCGCAAAGGAAAGGGTTGGGGGGGGGTGTCCTCCAAAACAGATGTCTCAAGGTTGGGGTTGGTTTTGCTTTTTCTCTCGGGGGGGGTGGGGGGGGTGAACTCCCCTCAGTGAGAGCTGCAT